ATAGGACTAAACCAGGCCTGAACCAGGTCTGAACCAAATCACAACCAGGACTAAAACAGGATTAAACCAGGCCTGAACCAGAACTAAACAAGGACTAAACCAGGCCTGAAAAAGGACTAAACCAGGACTGAACCAGGTCTGAACCAGGACTGAACAAGGTCTGAACAAGTTCTGACCCAGGACTAAACTAGGACTAAATCAGGTCTGAGTCAGGACTAAACCAGGCCTGAACCAGGACTAAACCAGGACTGAAACAGGACTAAACAAGACTAAACCAGGACTGAACCAGGACTAAACTAGAACTAAACCAGGCCTAAGTGAAGACTAAACTAGGACTAAACTAGAACTAAACTAGGACTAAACCAGGTCTTAGTCAGGACTAAACTAGGTCCAAATCTGGATTGATCTATAACAAAGACAGGGCTGAACCAGGACTATACTAGAACTAAACCAGGCCTGAACCCGGACTTGACTAAGACTAAACCCAGACTGACACAAGAAACCGGACCAGATCAGCCTCGACCAGACCTGAATGAAGATTAAACGAGGACAGGGCAATTTTCAGGACTAATTAAGATCTAAACCAGGACTAACCAATCAGCTGTATGTTTACACAGTATACCCAAACGGACAGATCCTGGTTTAGACCTGGTTTTTCACTTATCACAGACCACAGACGTCTTCGTAAGGATCTGGTCTGGTCCCGGTCCAAAACCAACATCGTGCGCCTCTTATGGAATGTGTATGAAGTGAAATATTGCAGTAGCAGTACCAGGGGAGTACTTCGGAAGTACTTTTGTGGCTGGTGTGGAGACAGCCCGACAGACTCTGGAGGTAATTCAAATACGTACCAGCAGTCACGTCAAATACTGCGATCCTCTGGAGTACTGCAGTAACCGAAGTAACAGACTGGACGAAAACGTGAGGTACGAGTTTTCAGAATACACCAAAATCTCAAAACTCGGGCGGTTTTAGAGACTGAACTGGAGCTCGGCGGTGGAAGATGCCAGATGTGGTTCTAAAAGTACTTTTTCCGTTCATTTTTCCCACAGACTTATATTAAATATCAAAGGTTTAAAGGCATGACTCAGGCTCACCAGCTCCGTGGTGACTAGGTCCACAGTGATGACTAAGTTGTTTTCAGGCCAATAACACATTTTAAAAGTCGCAGTGTGGAATTTTCTGGAAGTGTCGCGTCCCCTGTGTGATTCTACGCAAATACAGAAGAAAGTTAAACCGTACTTTGAAACATTCTTCATGGAGATAGATGTGTTTTTGTTTGTTTGTTTGCCAGACGATTGAAGATTAAAGCCAAAAGAACAAAATTTTCGTGGCAACAGGCTGGAAAAGGCCAAGTAAGAGTCACGTTTGTGGAGATGCAAGCTCAGAGTGAAGGCCTATTCATAGATTCATTCAATGAGAACAGAAGAACTTTGGTGAGAATAAAGAGAATAAAGAATAAAGTTCAATCAATCAATCAATCAAACTTTATTTCTATAGCACCTTCCAATGACTAGGGGTGTGCAAAAATATCGGAATATCGATATATCGTATCATTTAATGAGATGATACAGTATCGATATCGTGGGCTACTGTATCGATATATCAGTAAGAGTATTTTTACGTGTGTTTTACTAAATTATTTTGTTACAGAGCTACAGTTTTGTGGCTTGTGGAGTGAAAGGAAACTCATTTATGCAACACATTTGACATTTTCACTGTTTTGAGGATTAAAATGTTTGTGTTTCATATATATATATCTATAACTTTGCACAAGAAGTGGTTTAACAAAGACTTTAGTGTCACAGCCATGATTTAGACTTTATTTTTTATTGAACTGTATCGAATCGATTTGAAATATATCATATCAAATCGAAAGCTCACTGTATCGAGATATGTATCGTATCGTGGCCTGTGTATCGAGGTATGTATCGTATCGGCAACTCCTTAATGATACCCAGCCCTACCAACGATCAAAGCCGACCAAAGTGCTGTACAACATTAAAACAAGATAAAAAACATTAAACATCAAACAAATAGGTCAACAAAGCACATTACTCCATTAAAATAAAGAGTCACAGGGCCACTAAGTGTTAAAAGCCGTTCTAAATAAGTAAGTTTTAAGTTTGGCTTTGAACAAAGGCACTTCAGGGATGGACCGTAACTCAATGGGCCAAGAGTTCCAGGGTTTTGGACCGGCCACTGCAAAAGAACGATCGACCCCACTGTTTGCACCGGGACCGGGGGACCTCCAGCAGATGTTGCCCTGCAGATCGTAGAGCTCTTCTGGGTTGATGAGGGCTCAAAATCTCACACAAGTAGGAAGGTGCAAGACCATTGAGTGTATTAAAAACAAACATCAAAATTTTAAAATGAATTTAAGTTCGTTTGGGCTCTGGCATTTTATACTTCAAAAGATGTTCTGCTGCCTTTTTTTTTTTTTTTTAGTGACCCGCCTTTTGTCTTTCGAAAACGGAATTTACGCAATACTTTTCTACACTGATTTTCGTCCGAGCCTAAAATGTCCGCAATTTCCCTCCGTGAGTTTCTTGCCATTTGTCGTCTTTAGAGTTACTGAGCGTCGTGTCGTACAGATGTTTGTATTTTCTCACCATTTTCAACTAGACTGGACTAGGTCAGGAATCGGAATACACTAGACGGTTCGCAAAAACCCCGGAAGTGCGAGTTTGGGCACCAGCCAATCAGGGAAGAGCCATACATTCTGTGTTGGCAACGACTCCCGAGATCGAGGATTTAAAGCCGGAACAAAGAGAATGTTTGGTGAATTTTATCAAGGGGAAAGACGTTATTGTCCTTCTTCCTACGGGATTTGGGAAAAGCTTAATTTACCAGTTATCCACATTTGCAGCGCATTACATACGTCACAACCAAATAGCAGTGATTGGTTAAATAAAAAAAAGTATCCACATACTGTCAAGAAAAAGAATCCTAATGCTGCGAGGTCAGACGGTTTCCACGAAGTGAAACCAGCTGATGAATTAGGCTAATTTCTCCCAGCAGTGACTCAAAACCATCCTTTTTTTTGTCTTGCTTCGCACCGGCAAGGAAGCAGATAAACCACGCCAACATAAATAACCAATCAGAGCAGAGCAATCAGAACAAACCGCAAGAACTGCCGAACAGGAGCTGGCCGAAACAAAATAACGTCATTTTGTTCGGCCAGTGCTGGGTGAATAAACAAAGTTGCTATGATCTTACGAAGTATGAATAGGCCTCAAGTATGCAGGTTTTTCAATTCCATAAAAAATGAACCAAAATGGCTTCAAAATTAAAGCTCACAATGCAACTTTTCAGGTAGAAGATCCGCCACCTAGTTGTCTCCATGGAGATGCAACAAGATGGGTTCTCGCGATATTTGTGAGTTCTCGAACTTCCGAGAATCCATCTTGAGGTGCTCCTGCTGTACAGTTTAAACCCGACCCAATCACAGGCTTCTACGGCAGAGGGAGGAGTTTCAGACGACATGACGAGAACCGAAAGAGTCAGGCCTACAAAGAGCAAAAAAAAAACATGCTGGTGTCGGCGGACGGTGACGGTGGCTCATAACCCCCTTAATGTGCAAATTTACAAACTGCTGAATTGGTTTATCAATGTCTTCCCTCACCAGCATGACTCAAATTGGACACGTCATTTTAAGAGGACTGCCCTGATTGGCTAAAAAGTCTGGTGGGCGGGCACAAACCAGGATTAAACAGGACTGAACCAAGAAAAAAACATGACTAAACCATGACTAAACTAGAGCTAAACCTGGTCTGAATCAGGACTAAAGCATGACTAAACTAGAACTAAACTAGACCTAAACTAGGACTAAACCAGGTCTGAGTGAAGACTAAACTAGGACTAAACCAGGTCTGAGTCAGGACTAAACTAGGACTAAACCAGGTCTGAGTCAGGACTAAACTAGGTCTAAATCTGGATTGATCTATAACAAAGACAGGTGTGAATCAAGATGGTACTAAACCTAAACCAGGTCTGAACCAGGACTATGTTATCTTCCCTCACCAGCACGACTCAAATTGGACACGTCATTTTAAGAGGACTGCCCTGACTGGCTAAAAAGTCTGGTGGGGGGGGAACTTC